TTGACTATAAATTGGCCCAAATGTCATTTCAGCTTTTCAGTCACTGAGTAAAATGTGAAGGCCACTATTTGGAAGTTGGGATTTTTTTAAAAAAATGTGAATAGTAAAAGAGAATTCTACATATGCACATTGAGGATGATGTAAAGTTGTGTTCAGTGTGAGCAGAACTAAGGGTTGTTTTTCCTTGTAGTTGTGTGAAGAACTTATAGCAGTGTCTTTTCAGCAGATAGGGATCTACACATATCCCCAGGTTGCCAGATAACCAGGAACTCTGCCTTCCTTTCTTTTGTGACTTCCAGCAACTCAGCATATAGAAATCAGCAGGTGGCCTTTTTTTTAACAGCAGAGATCTAACCATTAGTACTAATTGCTGCTGAGCAAGGCATAGCTACAGGGCCCAATTCAAAAGATGGCTCCCCTCACAGCCCATAGTATGATTTGTTTTGCCATGCAAGGAGCTTACCAATGAGAATTGCATGGAGGAAAGTGGCATGGTTCCCAGATGAGCTTCCAGCTTTCTAGTTGATTGTGTTTCAGCAACTATGTAGCATCCAGAGCTTCTTTTCATATCCCTTTGTAGTAAAAACCCTCCAGCAACGCAAACATCCTTTGAAGTTGTTTGACTGAGCTGGCACTGGCAGGGGAAGAAGGGAAGGATATTTCCTAGTTAATGCAATTTCCCCAGTAGTTGTTTCTTTCTGAATTGAAAACTGCATCCTTCGACGCATTTCACAGCTGTCAAGAAGACAATGGCTTCTGTAAGTGCTTGGATTCAGCAAAAAAAAAAGTACTTGTAGCCATATAGTACCTGTATTAGTAAGCAAATATTCCACTTTTGTACTCTGAGATGTTGGTTTACATTGGAAAATTCCTTTGTAAAAAAAAAAGCCTAATCCTTTTTGTGTCTCCAGCTAGGGTGACATAGAACAAAGTCTTCAGACGTTCATTGTTGTAATGGAATAATACATAATGGGCCACATCTACTGTTCGTTTCAAATAAAATTGTGTCATTGAAAAGAATGGAACAAAGGATACATCTACACTGTAGAAGTAATGGAGTTTGACACCACTTAACTGCCATGGTGCAATGCTATGGAATCCTGAGATTGATGAGGCATTGGCACTCATTGGCAGATAAGGCTAAAGATCTTGTAAAATGATCATTCCTGTTATATCATAGCATGTAGCCATGGCAGTTTAGTGTACTCTAGATTCACGCTAACTTTGGATTTAACCAGTTATGAGTTGGTGTCTTAGACCCCATCTACATTGACTATTTTGGGACAGATTTGAAATCAGTCTTGAAAGAAGTCTGTAGAAGGACTCTCCCAGCCACCACAGAGGCAGGAGGGAGTCCTCAATGTGAAAAGGAGGGCAATAGGGCAAAAAGAGTGCCAAGCTGTGTTGCTGGGCTGCCTGAGCTCAGAAAACATAAGATAGTTACAGCTGGTTTCAGTTGGGAGCCAACCCAACTGTCTTCATTGCCCCTAAGCTGGGGGAAAGCCCCAATCCTGGGGTTTTCCTCCAACCTTAGGTAATATGAAGTAAGGCCATGTTAAGGTTTTTTGGTTTGTTTTTGTTTTTTTGTTTCCATGTCAGGAGCAACTTGAGAAATAAAGTGACATTGCCCCATGTAAACATATAGGAGGTGGCCCTGGTAGACCATGCAAACAAGATCTCCACCTCCTCCTCCAAGGTGAACTCAACCACCTATACTGGGTTCTGCAGGCCAGTGGGTATTATACAACACACATCAAAAGAGCTGCAAGGCCAAGAACAAACCACAAGAGTAAAGCAAAGATCTACCTAGAGGGAAGGTCTTCTTACTATACATCAAGGGAATCACTGACAGCATAGGGGAACTGATGAAGGAAAACAACCTACAAACTGTCTACAGACCTACCAAGAAAATTCAACAAATGCCACGCTCAGCAAAGGATAAGAGGGATCCCCTCACCTCTGCAGGAGTCTACTATATACCATGCAGTTGTGGACAAGTCTACATAGGGACCACCAAACGCAGCACCCAAACACAAATCAAGGAAGACGAAAGGCACCGCAGACTAATTCAACCAGAGAAGTCAGCCATAGCAAAGCACCTGTTGAACACAGCATATTATCTGAGAACACAAATGCTGGACTACTTTAACACCCACCATGTCAGACTACACAGAGAAGCCATTGAAATCCTCAAGCACATGGACAATTTCAGAAAGGAGGAAACCATGAAAATGAACAAAATCTGGTTACCAGTATTTAAAAAACACCAGAATCAAGAGAGTAAATAAAGAACACCACTCAGAAACAGGGGAATTCCAGACAGCACATAATCAAGTGCCAGTTAACACTTCCCAAACACAGCCAGGCTGTGCTGCTGCAAGGCTACTCAATGCTAATCAAGTTGCCTAATTGCAACATTCACACTTGCTTCAAACAGACTAGAGTTCTTTCTTCCACTCTGGACATTTAATATATATATATATACCCCACTTGCCTCAATTCCAACAGACCTCTGAACAAACCTCTGAGGATGCCTATCATAGATGCAGATAAAACATTAGGAGAGAATACTACTAGAACATGCCATACAGCCTGAAAATTTCACAGCAAGCCAGTGAATATAATTTATTTGTGTAGTAACTATAACTCTTAACTTAAAGCATGGCCTTCCATTTACAGAATAGGTATCTGCCCAGTGGATGTTTCATGTTTGACCAATCCTCAATTTCTGAGCAGACCTCATTTAATCAATTTAATGGTATGGAAGATGTGGAAGATTGGGAGGAACTGCTCAAGGAATGGTAGATAAAAGGGGGAATTGGTGGAAATTGCCATTACCCTTCTTTTCCTGGCTGCACCATCCTATAAATAAGATTTCTAGTTATGGGAAGTCAAGATCTAAGTTATAGAGTACCTATTTTGGTGACACTGCTACCAATAGAATACTACTATATTATTGGCTTCTGGAACATGGCCCAGAAAACTCACATCAACCCAGTGATTCCGGCCATGAAAGCCTTTGACAACACATTATTGGGTTAATTTGTATACATAGTTTCTGTATCCTAAAAACAAAATGTCAGGTTATCTTTTCCTTTTTCAAGAAATGTGTGTGCCTCTGGGCATTTTGAAAGATGCAAACCATGTCTATGCAATTGTAAATACCCCCCCCCCCCCCAGTACTGCATAATTTTCAAGTATTATCTTTTGATGAACCAACAGGTAATCTCTAAAATTGAGTATTGTCTGTCCAATGTCAATCCTACCTGACAATTTAGCTATAGTTAATGATTTCTAGCATTTGAATGACCTACACAAGAACTTGAGGTTTAAACGATAATTAGAAAGATAAATGCCGTTGATAATTACAGCCTCCCATCCCATAATCATTCTGAACATTTTCACATGTGTGCTTCAAGTTTCCAGACTTTACTTTCACCTATTCCAATTAGACACTATGCTGGTAAAATAGTGCCCACCTCTGCTCTATAGAGTGGTAAGAACTTCAGTTATGTTCATTTTTATCAGAATTTACCAAACTTTGTAAACTATTATAGTGCAGATGATGAAAGCAACAGATCACTGAGAAATATGCAAAAACTGGAATGTGAAAGAAAGTCGAATTTACATATTGGTCTATCTCTTAAATTGGTAGCCGGGGATTATGAATCCAAATGTACAGGCAGTTCCCTAGTTGCAAACAAGTTGAATTTGTATGTAAGTCAGAACAGGTACATTGTTACATCCCTCGTCACAATAGAGGAAAAAATCCGGTTTCTGCCTCCTGCAGAATTCTGGGGTTTGTAGTTTAAGGAGGAGCCTTTAATGGCCTCACTAAACTACAAACCCCAGAATTCTGCAGGAGGCAGAAACTAGATTTTAAGTGGATTTTTTCTCTAGTGTGATAAAGTGGCTAGTGTAACTCCAGGCTTGGCTTTAGCATAGCAGGTTAACTGCCAACAGCAGTAAATCTTGCAAATTAAAAGGTTGACAGGTTTATTTATTAATTATTTATTTTGTATATTTCTATTCTGCCCTTCTCCCCACAAGGGGGACTCAGAGCGGCCTTTGAAGCTTGGGTCGGGGTGAGCTCCTGACCTTTAGCCCAGCTTCTGCCAACCTAGCAGTTTCAAAAACAGCAATGTGAGCAGATAAATAGGTACTGCTTTAAAGTGGGAAAGTATTTAAGGCACCCATAAGGAAATGCCCAAAAAATTCCAGCAATTGAATCAAGGAGGAAAGTTTATGAACAAAGCTCTTTGGCAGGAAACATGGAGTGAAAACATCCCCCCCCCCTTCCCTGTGGCTGAAACCAAGCGCAGCCTCCAAGATGCCGAAGATGGGAAAGCTGATATATATGTGTGTGTGTATGTACAGTTATCTGCCATATATGTGTTCGGTGATCCGCTCTGAGTCCCCTTTGGGGTGAGAAGGGGGGGAATATAAATACTGGAGGGGTGTGTGTGTGTGTGTGTGTGTGTGTGTGTGTGTGTATATATATATATATATATATCGGGCATAAGGAAGGGTGAACACCCCTGTGGTGTTACTTTTGCTGCCTGTGCCCCTGTTCACAAGATTTCACTTCACTTTCTGTCCCTGTGACAATTGGATTCTTTAAAAAAAATTGGCTTGTTGTGAAACCAACAAAAAAGCTTCAGTGGAGACATCTTTCCTCCATGATAACTTTTCTGGAGTGAATTTCCTTTCCCTGGGGTAGATTTCTCTCATTTCCTGTTGTCTCACCCCTGTTCTTAACTATGAGTTGTTTGTAAGTCGAATATTTGTAACTCAGGGATTGCCTGTATTTATGGTGGCTTTTTCTTAGTCCTCAGCCTATGAAATCTTAATGTTGGGACATGTTGCTGCTGTTTTTTCTCCTCCTTTGTACTTTTAAAATCTAATTTAAGATGAACAAGCAATCTGAATGGGATCTGTTAATTTACTGTGGCCATTATACTCCTTCCTAACCTTTGCCATTTGTAATTTTTGTTTCCTAGAGTTGAGAATGATAGCAGCTGGGAAATTTGCAAGTCTCCCAAGGAATATGCAGATGAGCCATGAATTCTCCTTGGCCTCGTCTATGGACCTTTTGACCAGCAAACCGTCCCTGGCTACTGATCATCGCTCTGGCATATGTCAAGATGTTTCCATCCATGGCACCCTCCCAAGGAAGAAAAGGGGAGGCATTCCTGTTGGATCTTCAGACCCCTTTCACCATATGGGGACTTCGCCATACAGCAAAGCGCATCGACCACAAGGACCTTTAATCCAAAATACCATAGAGGAGTATCCCCAGAAAAACAAGAAGAATGACAACTTCTTTAGCAGGTAACTCTTGTTAAATTTTGACCTGTTACTGATGCTGGCAAAGCTTATTTCCAGCAAGGCTCAAGTGAAATTTCACACGTTTCTCCCATTTCAAAAACAATCTGACAGTCTTATGCCAATTTATCTTGCAAGTAAAAGTCATTCATCTCAGTGATACTTAATTTTGAGTAACTTTGTATATGACTATGCTGCTCAATGTATTCTCATCTCTTCTATTGTAATCTTGAGATATTGGACTTTCTGTCTTATTGCAGAACCTGAGGGCATTAAAGTGGAGCTATGCCTTGGCATAAAAATCAGGCGAGCAAAACAATTTACCCCAGATCCTTTGGTTCAGCATTTTACATGCCCATTTTATTAGGATTAACATTATGGAAAAACTGAGAAGCAAAGGCATGATCTCCCTAACTTTCCCATTGGTTCATGGAGATTGCTGTCTTCCCTTCCACACAACTGAGTCCTACCAAGGCCCTGGCACAGCTGGCATGAGCTGAATTGGCAGGGGAACAGTTGATGCTGCTTCGAGAGCAGCTGCCACAGCTTTTCTCCAGAAACAAGGATATTACAGAATTGAGAATTTAGACTGGCAAAAGTGGTAGCTTATGACTTGGCTGGGCAGTCTCTGCATACTGAAAATTTGGAGGAAATTGAGAAGTTTATTTATTTATTTCGCATATTTGTATCCCGTCCTTCTCACCGGGGGGGGGGGGGGGGGGGGCGCTCAGGGCGGCTTCACAACAGGCATTCATTTGATGCCAATAACAATGATAAATGATAATTACAGTTTAAACAATTAATTAACACATTAAATTATTACAATTACTGAGACGTTCATTTAAAATCACATAGGTTCAAAATCATAGTCTGGGATGGTCCATTGTCAGTCATACAAAATCGGTCTCTTTCTTGGTTGCTTCGTCTACTGTTCAAACGCTTGGTTCCATAACCAGGTTTTGAGTTTTTTTTCCCAAAGGACAGGAGAGAGGGGGCTGATCTGATGTCACTGGGAAGGGAGTTGCACAGATGAGAGGCCACCACTGAGAAGGCCCTGTCTTGTCCCCACCAGTCGCATTTGCAAAGGTGGTGGGACTGAGAACAGGGCCTCCTCCCTTTGTGATGGCTCATAGTGGGAGATACTTTCGGACAGGTAAGCTGAGCCGGAACCGTTCAGGGCTTTATAGGCTAAAGCCAGTTCTTTGAATTGTGCTCAGTAACAAACCGGCAGCCAGTGGAGCTGGCGTAACAGAGAGGTTGTATGTCGCTCCAGTGAGCAACCTAGCTGCCGCCCGTTGAACTAGTTGAAGCTTCTGGGCAGTCTTCAAAGGCAACCCCACATAGAGTGCATTGCAGTAGTCTCTTCAGGATTTAACAAAAGCATGGACTACTGTGATTAAGTCGGACTTTCCAAGGTACGGGCATAACTGGCGCACAAGTTTTAATTGTGCAAAAGCTCCCCTAGCCGCTGCCAAGACCTGGGGTTCCAGGCTCAACGATGAGTCTAGGATCACTCCCAAGCTCCCAAGTTTCTGGGCTTCAGCACAGCCCGGCATGGCAGAGCCAGGACATGGTGGAGGAAAAGGGATGGAATTTACCCAAAAAGGCAATCAATTTAAAATATAGTATTTCCACTTGCCAAAAAATAATCCGAATGTTGAAATGTAATGTGCAGTGATTTTGCTGCAAACATGCAAAGAATTTGCTCACTTGAAATTCCTTCTACTTGCAGAAGTGAAGATTGATAAATTTACATTTCTTTAATAAAATATTGATCGGCACCAATTTCATGCATCAGAGTTGAAAATGAATATTCACACACAGCTAGGCTTAGCATTACCCCCTCCTGTCTTTATTAATATGGGCCCACTGCATAAAACCTGTGCATGTGTAGAAAGACTTAATTGTACATGCAAATGTTTTGGTGTTTTGTTTGTTTTCTGATTTCCACTTTGTGGTGATCCTATTGGGTTGTCTTTGCCTCCATGTGAGGATGAGAGAGTATGACTTGTGCACAGTCACCAGGGATTTTTCATGACCAAGTGATCTCCAGACTCCTAGGGAGCATCTACACTGTAGAAAAATTTGACACAACTTTTACTGCCATGGCTACAAACCTGCTATGCACCTGCGAAACGTGGACTGTCTATAGATGTCACACTCAACTCCTGGAATGATTCCATTAGTGTTGCCTCTGAAAAATCCTACAAATTTATTTATTTATTTATTTCGGGTATTTCTACCCCGCCCTTCTCACCCCCTAGGGGGGACTAAGGGCGGCTTACATCCGGCACAATTCGATGCCAACAATTACAATAAAATGCAATAACAATAAACAAATTAGTTAAAACATACAATTAATACAATATCAACTAAAAAGCCGATCTACAGCCCGCGTTTATCGAGTTCTAAAATCCGTCAATCCATTTAGCATTACCATAATCCTTTCCAACTCTAGTCCAAATCTTTTGGGAAGACAAGCGTACAAATGTCAGTGTGCAGGAAGAAGCAAAGACCACCAGTATTAAAGCAGTGCTTCCATGCTACCAACTCTGCTGGACTGGCCACGTTGTCCGAATGCCTGATGACCATCTCCCTAAGGAGTTACTATACTCCCAACTCAAGAACGCGGAACGTAATGTTGGTGGACATGAAAAGAAATTTAAAGATAGGCTTAAAGCCAACCTTAAAAACTGTGACATAGACATCAAGAACTGAGAAGTCCTGGCCCTTGAGCACTTTAACTAGAGGTCAGCTGTGACCAGTAGTGTTGCAGAATTCAAAGAGGCATGAATGGAGGGTGAAAGGGAGAAACGTGCCAAGAGGAAGGTGCATCAAGCCCTAACCAATGCCCTCACTGCAGGAGAACATGCAGATCAAGAATAGGGCTCCACAGCCACCTACGGGCCCACCACCAAGACACTACACTTGGAGGACCATCATCCTCAGGCTATGAGGGATTGCCTAAGAGAGACTGCCATGGCTCAAAGCTATGCAGTGATAGGAATTGTAGTTTGGTGAGTCACCAGCACCCTTCTGCTGAGGCACTTAAAGATCTTGTTAAAACTATAACTCCCCTGATTCCCTATTTTAGCCATGGCAATTAAAGTGGTGCCATGCTGCAGTGTGATTCTGCAGTGTAGCTGGAGGCTACGTCATCAATTTTTTTGTCTAAAACATGTTGATTGCCTCATTTGGGGGATTTGAATTATGAACACATAGTTTATCTGTGTTTAGCATGGAATGAAATGTCCGCCTTTTCCTATAATCTTAAAATGAACTATTACTTTTGAGGTTATTTTAGCCACAAACTGTTTTAATGTTGAAAACCAGGGTAGGTGATGCATTATGTGGCGGTATCATTCACCACCAGCCCACAGCTATTGAGTCATGGGGGAGGCAGTGGAATCCCTTCGCCCTGGAAACTCTTAAAAAGAAGCTGTACATCATCTCCTCTCAGGGTGGTTCACGTTAATCCCATTTCCATGCTGGCTACAGATGATTAATGCTGCCTCGGCAGAAGAGACAGAAGGGTGTGTGGGAAAGGGATGACTTCTGGAGACCCTGCTGAACAATAGTTCTGTGGATTTGTTTCAGGGCTTTTAAAAATCCTTTGCACTAAATGAATGCCGTAAAGAAGAAAGAAAGGGTCCTTGTTGTAAATGAGGTGCCATTCCTTTCTAAGTGATAAAACGTGACTTTGGAAAGGGCTGGGACAGCTTTCCTGAACCTGGTACACTTCGGCATGTAAAGCTGGTACATTTCCCATTGTCTTCAGTGAACAAAGGTCATCTGGTTTGGGTGATGGGAGAGAGATGTAGTTGAAGGATTCTGGAAGGTGCTTTGCTGGACTAGAAAAATAGCATATCCCAATGTTAGATAGAATTCGTAATGTTCCAGTGACTGCATGAAATGAATTAACACTTCTATGGTGATCATTCTAAGGCACATTTCGGAAAGGTTCAAAAGCTCCATGGTACTCTAGAGCTGCGTTTCTCACCCTGGGGGGTCAAAGGGATCACCAAAGATAATCAGAAAACACAGTATTTTCTGTTGGTCATGGAGGTTCTGTGTGGGAAGTTTGGCCCAATTCTATCATTGATGGGGTTCTGAATGGTCTTTGATTGTAGGTGAACTATAAATCCACAACTCCCAAATGTCAAGGTCTATTTTCCTCAAACACCACCAGTGTGCACATTTGGGCACATTGAGTATTCGTGCCAAGTTTGGTCCAGATCCATCATTGTTTGAGTCCACAGTGCTCTCTGGATGTAGATGAATTACAACTCCAAAACTCAAGGTCAGTGCCCACCAAACCCTTCCAGTATTTTCTGTTAGTCATGGGAGTTTTGTGTGACAAGTCAGGTTCAATTCTGTTGTTGGTGGAGTTCAAAATGCTCTTTGATTGTAGGTGAACTATAAATCCCCCCTCCCATTTACCAGTATTCAAATTTGGGCATATCGGGTATTTGTGCCAAATTTGGTCCAGTGAATTAAAATGCATCTGCATATCAGATATTTCCATTCACAACAGTAGCAAAATGACAGTTAGGAAGTAACAATGAAAATAATTTTATGGTTGAGGGTCACTGCAACATGAGGAACTGTATTAAGGGGTCATGGCATTAGGAAAGTTTGGGAAACACTGCTCTAGAGAATGTTGATATTTACTTAAATATGATTACCAGAATTCGGGCATATCCAGAAAATGTAAGACCAGGAGAAATGTACTGGTGTATAGGTTGAGTATCCCTTACCGTATATATTCGAGTATAAGCCAACCTGAATATATAGTGACATAATTGCTTTCTGATGGTTCAGTGTACACAAACTTTGTTTGGTGCACAAAGTTATTAAAATATTGTATAAAATTACCTTCTGGCTATATGTATAAGGTGCATATGAAACATAAAGGAGTTTCACGTCTACACTTGGGCCCCTTCTCGAAGACATTTCCTTATATATGTTCATGCAAATGCAGTTATTCCAAAATTCAAAATTCAAAA